TTTTCTCAGTCATCCAGGTATATAACAACAAAAAAGGTTGAATCATGAATCATCATCATCATCATCACAATTCAACAATATTTTGATTAGAATATACTATACATTTCACTTTAAATGTATGAAAACTTACCAGAAGTAATTTTTATCTTTATTAATGGGGACGTCATCCTGTCATCCCGAGGGTTAATTTTATCCTTCAGTGGTCGTTCAGTTTTTGTGGCACTCATGTTATTTGGCCACCTAATGGTGTTCTTGTTCCTGTCAATCCAACTGACAGGAACTACACCCTCCTCCTGTTCGACTTCCTCACCATCAGAATAACGAAGAAGTAGACTGAGGTCTCTTTTGCGTTGTCGCCATTTCCTCATTCTTAAAGCCATCTGTAAACAGATCTGAGTCCAAGTTAATCTAGTTATTGTTTATTTGACTGAGCCAATGCAAAGGGGAGGAGGATGGGGTCACAACACTTACCTTATTGAGGTGGTTTAACTCCTAAGGGTAGGACACTGAATTCCAAGTCCAGAGTTCGGAAGACACCACGTACACCTGACAGAAAATAAAAAGGTTTATAAAAGCAACTAAACCTTTGGAGACATGTTCACAGAAATACATTTATATTACTCAGAATGTAGTTATCTCAAATAAGTATGTTGCCTAGTCAAAGTCAAATTAGATATCTTAAAAGGAAACATATCATGCTTTTACAGCTTTCTTTTTCACATTTAAATCATTCCGTTGGAACTGCAATGCTTTGGTCTGAATTCCTCCTTATTGTAACTCAACAAGTATGGCGGCATTATCAAGCCAAATCTCACGAGAGCAAATCCAAAACACGCGAGAGCAACCGAGACCCGTGCGAGCGCAACTGAAACCTGCACAAGTGCAAATGATATCCGCGCACGTGCAGAATTGCTCCGCGAACGGAATGGAGACGCGCGCGAACGTAAAAGATATCCGAACGCACGCGCCTAAGCTTACCCAGCTGCGAAGCTCTACGCTCACAGAATGTCTCTGCTTGCTCGCCGTTTCCTGATGCTGCTCGCTCGCTTAGATTTCGAACGACTGTGATCACTGTACTGTGATGGATGTAACCCAATAAACGATAAAAAAATAAACTGTACTGCAATTTTCACTCATTGAGATAATATCATATAGATATGGTTGAATGAATTCAGTGTCGCACTCGAAAACTGCCCAAAAAATGTCTGAAATAGATGCTTTTTTTCCTGCCAAAAAGTGATTAAGGCCCATTTCCTCCCCATTGAAAAGCTATTTCTGCCTAAAATGACTATTACACTAAGAGGGATTATATTACACAGATAGTTGAATGTTGTTAGTTTCACACTGGAAAAACTACCAAAAATCACCCAAAATAGGCATTTTATTCTGCCAAAGTGATTAAGGCCCATTTCCTGCCCAATGAAATACAATTTCTGTCTGAAATGACTTTGTTTCACTCTGAGGGATTATATTACACAGCCATTGCACCTTCAAAACACTACTGTTACATGTTGGTTATGGCAACTACTGTTAAAAGAGTAAGATTATTCAGATTCTGATGGCATTATATTATTCTATTTCACTTAGACCACACTGGATAATGTTTACTTTCACCAAGTTTGGACTCTAAACAAAACGGTACTTTGCCATGTGTTGGCTGGTGATTAGTGTAAAACGTGAGTTTGTGACTTTTTTTATATCGTTTTCATTATTTGTTATTATTACCGGTAATGTAGTATTAATTTTACACATTTTGTGTCTTAGGTTTTGCACTCTCAGCGCCTCAATGAACCTCCGCTTAAAACATGGGTGATCATCAGTTCCAGTGGACAGTGCACACTGCACATGCATGGCTGGCATTGCAGTCATGTACACACATTGGGGCGCTACTGTTTAAAATTGAAGTAGCAGTGCATATATGGGGGGCCAAAACTGTCACTGATGTTCCAGCCTATTGGATGATGTCCACTAATGTTGACACGGTTCAAGCGGAGGCGAGGTCACCAAATCGGGGATGGCTCATGAGGAAGAAGCAAGGCGAGCATGTCAAGCAGACTGCATCCCAGCATGAGAATCTGAATGTGGAGAAATGTGGGTTTATAATAAATCTATCCTTTCCAGAAGTTGGAGCTTCTCCTTATGGGCTGATCAACTGCACATGTTGTGGGAAAAAGAATGTCTGGAAATCAAGTGCCCATTTAAGTACCACAACGACCACAATCATGCAGGCCTGTATAGATGACAGCAGTTTTTGTCTCCAGCTAAATGATGGGAAAGTGAACCTGCAGCAGACACACAAGTACTAGTCAAGAACAAACGCAGATCTTTATGACTGGGCCAGAGCTTTGTGACTTTGTAGTGTGGACGTAGAAAGACTGCTGTGGAACGGATATTACCCGATACCACCTTCTGGACAACACTTTTGGCAAAGGCACAGGAATATTTCTTCAAGGTGTCTTTATATGAGCTTGTAGCTTGCTTTTACACCCGAGCAGCCTCCACAATGCCCAATGTCAAGCCATTAACTGAGAAACAGCCATCTTGCACAAGAGCCAGAAAACAGAATTATAAAATCAACAAATAGTGCATTTACAAAGGGCCTGAAGTGCAGGATGACATGGTTGCCTGTGATAATGAAAACGGTACGGTACAGTGGTTTCACTTTAGATGTGTAGGACAGTCAGGCACCTTCAGCAAGTGACCCGTGGTCAGTGTTGTAATGTAACAAAGTAGAAATACTTTGTTACTGTACTTAAGTAGAATTTTGACATGTTTTTACTTAACTTCGTTATTTACATTGCTAGCAACTTTAACTTTTACATCACTACATTTCCTCAATAAAATCTGTACTTTTACTTCAATACATTTCCCTTAACCATCTTAGTTACTCGTTACTACAATATTAGAAGAAGTCTTATTGGACAATGACTGTTTGTTCTCCCAGTCTGTGACTTCATGCAGCCACTTCTCTCTCAGGGGCCGTTTACACGGCACATATTTTGAATGAATCCACACCTTTCTCTCTGTGGTTCTGCTGATCATTTACACGACACCAGTGGCTCCCCTCTTTGAATCCGGAGGTTTCTGAACCCACCTTCCAGAGTGGAGGTTTTTCGCTGACCGACCGCAGATAGCATATACATCTCCCGCTGGCACGCGCGGACAGACGGTATATTTCTATCAACATGGCGACAGACACATTGCTTTGTGAACTACGACTGATGGAATATATATTTAATCTCGTAGTTAATCTACGTCAGATTCCAGGTGCTGTGACCGACACCTGTGTGGCTGTGTTGGAAGAGACACGGTCGGATCCAGACCATACTTACTTTTTTGACGTTCCTTGCTCTTTGATTCTGTGATAGCTGGGTCTTTTCAACAAAACAAGAAACTTCTTCCAACAGAGGAAGTGGAACAGAGAGCCCTAAACTCCTATGAGGGAACAACGCCAAGCCATTGGTTCCGATATGTGGATGATACCTGGATCAAAATCCAAGCTAAGGAAATAGAAGCGTTCACCAGACACATTAACTCGGTCGACAACAACATCAAGTTCACCAGAGAGGATGCAAACGACAACAAACTGCCTTTTTTGGACTGTTTGGTTCAGATGGAGAGAGAGGACAGCCTCAACATTGAAGTGTACAGGAAACCAACCCACACAGACCAGTATCTTCTGTTTGACTCCCACCATCCACTGGAACACAAACTCTCTGTCATCAGAACTCTACAGCATCGGGCTGAACACGTCCTCACAAAGACAGAAGGGAAGGAAAAGGAACAGAAACACATCCAAGAAGCTCTCCAAACATCTGGATATCCTAACTGGGCTTTTGTCAAGTCAGCAAGGAAATGTACAAAACACACTAATAAACAGAAAAAGGAGAACAACAGACGTAAAAACATTGTCATCCCTTATGTTGCTGGAGTATCAGAGAAATTCAGAAGGATCTTCAACAAACACAACATCCCAGTACATTTCAAACCCAGCAGGACTCTCAGACAGAGGCTGGTCCACCCTAAGGACAAAACATCCATACACAAACAGAGTGGTGTAGTGTATGCGGTCCAGTGCAGCGAGGACTGTCCAGACCTCTACATTGGAGAAACTAAACAGCCTCTTCACAGACGCATGACTCAACACAGGAGAGCCACCTCCTCTGGACAAGACTCAGCTGTTCACCTCCACCTCACAGATAAGGGACACTCTTTTGAGGACCAAAATGTGCACATTTTGGACCGAGAACACAGATGGTTTGAGAGGGGGGTGAAGGAAGCAATTTATGTAAAAAGAGAAAAGCCATCTCTTAACAGAGGAAGAGGCCTCAGATTTCCACTTTCAAAAACCTATAATGCAACTTTAAAACAGATCCCCAGCCAGTTTGCACACCTGATGGGAACAGAGAGGCCTCATCTGTGAATTAGAGGAACAAAGACCTTAAGAAACCCCTACTGTTAAGGTGTTGAGGTGTGATTTGTCAAATCTACATATGTACGTGTGTCTTATCTCACTCAGCCTTATAACCTGAATCCCTCACTCACTGCTCATTGAATTGAGAAAGCTCCTTGGATGAGGAGCGGAACGTCTTCTGTTACAAATAAAGTCCAGTTGTTTTTGTATTGAACGTTTTTTTGAATATATGGGAACACTTCATTCTGCTTGCTTGAGTCATGAAAAGGTGGTTTTACATTTAAATATGTCAAAAAAGTTATGGTAATGTTCAGCAGTGAAGATATTATCTAACTCATTTAACCCATGTATTTAATATAATTACAGTAAAATGATGTACGTGATTTTAATAGTCATAAGCCAGTATGGGCTCAAATTAAATTTTACTTGCATTAGTCTGTTTCTACAGGTGCAGTGTTTGGTGTGTTCAACTGAACTAAGTATCAAGGCAATACCTCCTCTATGATTAGACACTTCACTGCCAAACATGGAGATGCTGAGATGTCATTTCACTGTTATTGTTAAGAATGATAAAGGCTGACTCTGCCACAGTTACACAAGCACAATACCATTGCAACATTTTTATTAAATCTGCACATTTATCGATCTTTATTTGAAAACATGTAAACATAAATACATTTTCAAAGCAGACAACATAGAAAGTTGATGAATTAAAAAATCTGATTTTTTTTTTTACCACAGTAGTTTCTTTAACACTAGTCATTGAATCTAAAAAAAAGTTAATGTCCAGAGGACCAGAATGTACTTTTTTAGATTTTTCGTCCTGGATTATTGAGCATGCATCAGGATTAGTCACTCAAGTTCCTTGGTGTGTGCCACCAAAAGCATAGTCTAATTTGACAGCAACATTGCAAATTGCCACAAGAGGTCACTGTAACTGAAGCTTCAACAAATGAACCTATTTTTGAAACATTTGGCCCAGCTGTTTCAGTGCTTCATAAAAGCTTCATTTGCTCATCACTAACGTAGACACAAGCTTTAGCTAACGTTAGCTGACGGAGCGCAAGCCCGGTGCAAGTCAACAGAGCCACGGCAAGTTTTGTTAATTTAAAAGAACAAAGCTAAAACATCTACCAAATAAAATTAACAAAACAGAACCGACCTTACCTTCAACTTCTGAATGGATCGTGAGTTTGGTGCGGCCAGTTGAGCTCCGAGAGAAATGAACCGGTCGCGCGAATACCAACAGTTGTTATGATGAACGAATTCACCGCGCGCCGCGCTGCGATGGAGAAGGGGGTCTCTGCAGACCAAAAGTGGGCGTTTCTGGCGAATAGGCGTTTATGGGCGGCGAACACTGATTGGCTAACAGTATTTAATAGGCGTTTGTCGGCGGCGAACACTGATTGGCTGTGGGTAACCCTCAAAGTCACGAGTCATTGATGAGGTAACGTTTCTTTGCGATATTTGACAAAGAAATATGGTTTATTGTACTTATAAAGTATGTTATGTTTTCACTTATGCATTTTATTGAAGTACGTTTATTGTAGGTCACGATAGTTTCGACCGTTCTCTCGTTGTTGTCGTAACGCACTGAAGTAAAGTGAGCCTCCTCTCGGCTCCTTTTCAAAATAAAAGCTGAAAATAAAAGTTCTTAATACTTGAAAAATAAATATTTAAAAGCTGTGTATAACTGAAAAATATGAAAAAAATAAATAAATAAAAGTTGTTATTAGCTGAAAAATAAATAAATAAAAGCTGTTAATTATATCTATGTCTTTCTGCCATGTCAGGGACCACTCTCACTTCAGACTGACTCTAGAAGACCCCAAGATGTTGCCCAACAATGTTGACCAACATCTGATGTTGACTTTCATTACTCAATAATGAGTAATAACTTATTCAATAAAAAGTCTGTAATTTGTCAATGATAGTCAATAATTCATTCAAGAATAGATTATGGGTGTTTGGTATGGCTCAGTGGCTAAAATGGGTTGGATGTTAGAGAAATTACTTAATTTTCAATTACCTGAATGCACAAATTCCTTCATTTATAGTTAAACTTTAGGAAATCAACTTTTTTTTTTCTTGTGAAAAAAATATCAAAATTAACTTTAAAATCCAATCCAGGATTAAGTAACAAGTAGCAACACCCTAACTGTACTATGTTCTGTGTTTCCAACAGATGCTACGATGACTTCTAAAAATGGATGTCCCAATAAACACAATAAAAAAAATTCAATGATGCATCAAATGTTGTCTGAGTATGTTTTAAGGTAATAACAAATGTGAAATCTGGAAAACAAAGAGAATTCCTGAATCTGTCTTGTGTGCTTTGATGTGTACATAAGTTTATTGGAGGTCCTGAAACAACTTTTCTGAGAACTCAAAGATTTTTATTTTACCTTTGGCCAAGATGTCAGTTTGAAATCAGGCTGCTTACTGCAAAACCAAGAGGGTTTTTAAGACGGTCTTCATTTGTATTGTTTTGTCGACTAAGCTAAATGTAATTTCTAAAATATGGATAAATCTGATCTCATCATGCAGCATGAGCACCTGGGTACAGGTGTGAGGGCCAAAAGTCTGGTTATGTACTGACTCCTAAATGTGCTGGTTTTCTACTGAAACATGGAGTAGGGTTGACCTTTAAAATGTGAGACAGCTGAGGAAGTTAACCAGTAAACAGAATACCTGCTCCAGGTGCAGAAATCTGACAGAAACTGACAATCACTCATCTGCAGTGACTGCAGGTTGAACAAGAAAATGTGAAGTTAAAGGAAACATCCTTTGTCCCAAGGCCAGTTTAAGTATCGTTAATATTTTTCTTTCTTTATGAATCGATTGTAACTTTGTTCACATTTTTCAACAACCAAAATGGAATTTGTTTTTTTAATGTTATGGCTAGGTATTAAAAAAAAACCTAACATTTAGCTCTCCCCACTACCCAGTTATGTTGCTCTTATTTTGAAATGTAACCGGAAGTTCTGTGTTAAGAGAGTCGAAAAAAGAAGTTATGGAGACGCCGCGGCAGTATACTGGAGCGATGTCGAACCGAGACGCCGCTAATGTCGAACCGGTTAACACCATAGACATAATATGCCTGTGGTTAACACAATCTGCCAATAACGCCTTGTTTTTAGACATCATGTGTCTGTGGTTACGGCATTTTATCGTTCAGCCTTTTTTTTTCTATCGTTCAGCCTTTTTTTTTTCTATCGTCCAATCAGATGTGGCCGTCCAGACACGCCCATTTTTCTATCGTCCAATCAGAT